CTTTAACTGAGCAATCGTTGCCAGAGACTGTAGACTGGGAATTTTCCGACGTCATGTCTTTTCTGCCAAATGTGTCACAAAAAAGAAAGTATGTGAAGAACAATTTCGGGGTACGGTTTAGTTATTTGTACAACGATTTTGGGTTCCTGTGCCCAAACGCGTGACCCGAATCAAAAACTTTTACACACACATGTGGACAAGAGTCTATGCTTTATTTACTATATCTGTGCACTAATTTAATAATAATTTCGGTTTTAGATACTATGGTATTTGTGTGCAAATTTCCGAGCTGAGCTGTCAAACACAAAAAATATCCTCTTCTTGTCTGTCCCCCTCTGCCCCAAACCCAAAATCGTTGTCCAAATAACTAAATATTTCCGCAATTTCGAAATAAAAACTTAATAATAATAAATAAATTTTACAGAACTTTTACATCTCCACCTTTTTCGGAAGAAACGTCGTTAGCTGGTGATACGGGCTTACAGTATGATTATGTGAGTATGTCGCTAATAAAACCCATTACGTTTTACATTTTCGCTAAATTGCATTCGGTTAGCAAGTAAAATTATTTAAGTTTACTGATTTATGCCGTCTTTTCTTTAGACTCCGAAATGCTCCAAGCGAAACAAAACTGCCACCGCATCCCTAGAGAGCTCCGGCATGTGGGACCGATTCGGCAAGCTTATTGAAAAGCAGGAAAGCGCGCTACAAGTAGAAAATTCATCGCCTTACCAAGCCGCTTTCGCCAGTCTCGAATGGATGCTGAGCAAACTTCCGGAGCCGATTGCCACAAATGCGTGTATTGAGTTTTCAAAAACGTTGTTAACTCTTATTGAAAAGGAAAACATGAAATCCAATGCTACATGCAACAATTAACATTTTCATAACCAAATGTGTTCACACGTCCTCAGTTCCTACCACGTACCCCTGTCGTCAGTTATTAAGTTAAGTGACATTTTGATCAGTTTTGGCTAATTTTCTTTTCTTTTGTTTATTTCATGTTTATAATATTTTTATAAAAGTATAGCAAATAACATAACCAACACCATATATGTAAATCCACATTTCAAACTTCATATAAAGATTTTAAAATTTCAACAAACTTTAACAATTACACTAAAAAATATTTACACTTTTTATTCAGAATTTTGAGAAACATTTAAGGTATGCAGTTTTATAGCCTATTAAATTTTAGTAGGCTAAAGTTCAAATTTCAACACGCTAGAAAATCGCGTTAATTTTTAATATTTTTTTTGGCTTCGGGGTTGTGCATTTTCCACCATATAAAGAATGCTCGATAATTGCTTTTATATGGAGGAGATACCTAAAATGTTTCTAAAAATTCTGAATAAATGTTTAAATATTTTTTAGTGTAATTGTTAAAGTTTGTTGAAATTTTAAAATCTTTATATGAAGTTTGAAATGCGGATTTACATATATGGTGTTGGTTATGTTATTTGCTAGACTTTTATAAAAATATTATAAACATGAAATAAACAAAAGAAAAGAAAATTAGCCAAATCTGATCAAAATGTCACTTAACTTATTCAGCTGACCCCAAGTGTATCTTTATATAATATGAATAAGTGGATCTCATCTGAATCTGATGTGCTTTAACATGCACAAAAAACTAAGGTGGCAAAATGAGTAAATAAACAAGTAAGAGCAGCGCTGTCTTCGGCTATGCCGAAGGCTTCATACCTTTCATGAACATCTGCAAATTTTACTTTGACAGATTACTGCTTTTGAATACATCTGCATACATCGATAGAGGAGTTACATACTTATATAAAAAATCGCATCTAAACAATCAGAGGTATGGAAGATATACTTTATATGGCACCAATCTAAGTGATTTTCATTGCTATGTGATCGGTATGTAAACCGGTAACACAATTTATTGGATTTAGTTTCGTACATAAAGGAGATATATGGCAAAAACTGGTATCTTAACAATCAGTGCTATAGGAGATAAAGCTTATAAAGCATAGATTTTGACGATTTTCTCAGTAGACTTTGTATTATTATTTATAAAATATCTTACGAAATTTATCGGTTTTAGCTGTTCAAATAAAGGAGTTTTACAGTAAAATCCCATATCTGAACAATCAGATGTATGGAAGATATATGTTGTAGTCATCCGATCCTTGTTATTTCCGCTGTAAGTATTCTGTTAATAATGAGTGAAAATGGTGCGAAATTTCATGTTCCTAGCTGCATAAATGGAGGAGTTATGATAAAAGACCTCATATCTGAACAATCAGTTGTATGGGGGCTGCAGGTTATAGTGACCCGATCTTTGTTATTTTCGCTTTAAGTCTTCTGTTGATAATGAGTGAAAACAGCGCGAAATTTCATGGTCCTAGCTACAGAAATGGATGAATTATAACGAAAAAATCTCATATCTGAACAATCAGTTGTATGGGAGCTATAGGTTATAGTTACCCGATCTTTTTAATTTTCACTGTAAGTTTTCTGTTGATAATTATTGAAAACAGTGCGGAATTTCATGTTCCTAGCTATATAAATGGAGGAGTTATAACGCAAAATTTTATATCTGAACAATCAGTTGTATGGGAGCTATAGGTTATAGTGACCCGATCTTTGTAATTTTCACTGTAAGTATTCTGTTGATAATGGGTGCAAGTATTGCAAAATTTCATGTTCGTAGCTGCATAAATGGAGAAGTTATAATGAAAAATCTCATATCTGAACAATCAGTTGTATGGGAGCTATATGTTATAGTGGTCCGATTCTTCCGGTTCCGACAAATGATTAATACATTATAAAAATACACCCACCTACCAAATTTGATCCGGATATCTCGAAAACTGAGAGACTAGATTGCATACAAACAGACAGACAGACGGACAGACGGACATGGCTAAATCAACTCAGCTCGACGTTCTGATCATATAAGTATACATTTTCATGGGTCTATCTCTTTTTGTTCTGGTACTTACAAACATCGGACCAAAGTTATAATACCATTTCATGCTCATGAAAGGTATAATTAAAGTTATAAGTTTTTGGTTGCTTTTATTGATGAAAAGTAAAACGTTAGTTATGTCTACAAAAATGCAGCCTCATTTTGCCATGAAGCGGATTCATTTTCCGAGTTTACATATTCTTTAAGCACATTTCGAATATATTTTTCATAGTCTGACGGTCTTCCCCGGAACGCAGTAATGCCAGTTTCATTCGAAGTCTCTTCTCGCGTTATGAAATGGCTTTCCAAATTTTCTGAGAAGTTATTGCTGCAGTAAGTTGAGCGAGAAGTATTTAATAAATAATTATGCAACAAACAGCATGCAGAAACAATTTTTTATGCACGTTCAGGGCTGCAAAATAATAGGTGCGTTCGACAAGTCAAAAATTTGTAATAGTTTTTCCAAATTTTTACTGGATCGCGGTCGATAACGACAAAAAATTATCCAACACACAAAAATTGAGAGAGCAATCATTTTGATGCAAGAGAAGAGTTCATTTTGTACTGGCAAAACTTTAGTCAGCAAAAATTATCCAACACGAAAACATATGATCACAAAACATATGGTTGCAATTTTTGTAAACAAACAAAATTGCATTTTCCGAGTTGTGGTATTTATATGCTTTTTGGCTGCCTGCTATGTGACTTTATGATAGCGCCAACTTGTTTTTACTTCTAGAAATGTTCCTGGCGAACATTGAACGTTCACTTTCCTTTTTTCTTCTATGGAGGCAACATGAATTTCAGTTTGTTTACAAATAAAACATAAACAAAGTCAGCTGGTGTGTCTTCTTCTTCCGGTTTTTGCAAGTAATGGCTAATTTCCTGTTCGTTTACTTTTTTGCTTTTTCATCCCTTTGGGAGAGTATTTTCGCTTACTCTCTTGATTTTGATTGTTGGCTGGTGTTGGCTAATTTTGTTATCGAACGCAACTAATGTCTTTCTTAGCCAAAGCCATTTAGCGCTCAATATGCCAAAGGCATTTTCTATACATCGTCGTGCTCTGCTTAACCTGTAGTTAAAAATCCGTTCCTCTCGTGGCAGTGGTTTAGTTGTAAAAGGTTTAATTATACGCTTACTTAAATGGAACGCATCGTCGCCAACTATAAAGTACGGAATTTTTGTTCCACCAAAAAAAGAATCTTGAGGGAACGAGTAACTATCGTTGATGATGCTTCTGCCCAACGTAGAATTTTTAATAACATTGGCGTCTCCTTCACTGCCATAGGCACCAATATCGATGTATGAAAACCTGTAGGAGGCATCAAAAGTTGCCATTAAAACGATTGAGTGAAACACCTGCATGGAAAATATTGCTTTAGTATTTTTGTGGAAAAAATCTTTACTTTTAACATACCTTATAATTATAAAAATTACTGCCGCTATTCGGTGGAGCTTTTATATTAATGTGTTTGCCGTCAATAGTGGCGACACAATTGGGAAAATTCCACTTGCTGAAAAACTCGTCCGCCGTTTTCTGAAGAGTTTCCACCGTCCACGCTGGTACTTCATCTTTCAGGGCAATGCAGATAGCTGTGCATACATGTGCTACCATGCTTCCGAAATGTTGTTTGCTAATTCTATAGCATCCCAATTTGCCACAGGGCGAAGACGACGTCGTTACGACGTCGCTTTGGTGAAGCCGTTACAACGTCGCTCTGGTGAAGTCGTTTTGGTGAACTCGAAACGACGTCGTTACGACGTCGATCTGGTGAAGTCTTTTGGGTGAACTCTAAACGACGCCGCTGCGAGGTCGCTTTGGTGAAGCCGTTACGACGTCGCCCTGATGAAGTCGTTTGGGTGAACTCTAACCGACGTCGTTACGACGTCGCTTTGGTGAAGCGTTTTTGCGGCCCGCCGGCGAAGTGT